CATCATCTCGGGAGTCCCAAAATAGAAGCTTGTCACCTTATAATGTATAAGCAAATTCATCGGATATTGTCAATTCATTGGCAGATTTTGGATTGGGTGGTATAGGATTATTTATTGCCCGGTAAGAGCGTAGCGTTCGTTTCATGCTATTTGGATCAGGAAGACGTGCCGCAGTTGACTTATCAACTTTTCCGATAATGTGTGCAACAACATTTGAAATCGGTTCCGAATCCATTTTGACTATCCTCTTCCCTTCTTCCATTACTAATTTAGCATCAACCCGATTAGGAGCATGATTATGAGCACCCTGGAAAGCGCATTTGTTTCATTAGAACTAACCTTGATAAAAGAACAAATAAAACAAGTAAGAAAGTCTATGTTCGGGCGGAGCCGAACATTAAATACCCGGCGCAAGTATTAAATATATGTTTTTCACCTTTCCGAAAGCTACCGCTACATGGTAAACCGGGGTGTAACAATTTTGAGTAAATTAGCGTCCTTAAATTTCGAAATATTGAAGTTTCAAGCATTTCTGAAATTTACTGTTATATGAAAAGCGGCCGTAATTTAAGTTCGATTTCAATAATTTTCAACGTTTTGCTTCTATGTGGCAAGCACAATAACCACACCGAGTTTGGTACAAATTGGTAGAACGGTTACCGAGATACATATATGTGATCATAAGTGGGCGGTGCCACGCCCATTTTTAAAAATTTTATCCTATTGGTAAAGAATTGTTGCAAGCATCAATTTTGAATAAATTAGCTTCAATAATTACTGATTTATCGAAGATTTCGTATTTCTCTAAATTACCGTTATATGGGATGTGGGCGTGGTTATTATCCGATTTTAAAAATTTTCGGCCATTTCGTATGTTATACCAAGGTTAACAAATGTGCCAAGTTTGAAGAAATTGGTGCAGCGGTTACCAAGATATAGACATGTAACCATAAGTGGGCGTGGCTATGCCCATTTTCCAAAAATTTATACTATTCTTATTTTTATTATTTTTTCTTATTTTGAGTGAATTATCTTCAGTAGTTACTAAAATATCGCAGTTCTCGTATTTCTGGAAATTACCGTTATATGGGAGGTAGGCGTGGTTATTGCCCGATTTTCAATGCCATCCGTCCTACGCCCGAAAAAAGTGCACATATCAAGTTTCGTAAAGATATCTCAATTTTTACTCGAGTTATCGTGTGCAAAGACGGACGGACGGAGAGACAGTCACCGCTTAATCGATTTTTCTTTTCATTCTGATCATTTATGTATACATTTGTCTATATCTATCTCGATTCGTTTTGCCTGTTACAAACAACCGTTATGTGAACAAAGTTAATATACCCTTGTGCACAAGTGCGCTCGGGTATAAAAATATGTAATCAATGTCATTTACCCGTAGGCGTATCGTATGTCGTAAAAACTCTCGCTGTACAACCATCACGATGTCTTTTACATCGCAATGTAATGCTTCCTTTGTTATTTCGGTGTTTTGTCAGCAAATGACCTTCATCTATTAGAATATTTCCATCTCGTTGACTACAAATAAATTTTAAAAACATATTAGACTTTTTTTATGAACTAAACCAGAAATCAAGACGATAACGAATCACGTGTGTAATGGTAGACTATCCACGATCTACATATTTATTTAAACTCTTATGAGGTGGGTTTTGTCGAAGGGTGAGGTACGCTCATCCGACCCAGGGTACAATGGAGGTCCCACTAACACCCACCGTTCGTCCAAGAAGCGAGAGAGAGGGAGAGTAACAGCGGCTATGGGTCGGTAACGGTAAGAATAACGACGGGTCGGTAGTGGTGAGACTAACAACGGCTATGGATCGGTAACGGTGAGAGTGATAGCACAAGGTGACGACGGTGAGCGTAGCGGCAATCAGAGCGACGGTGATACTCTACGGCGACGGTGACAGCGGTCCTGGCCTGCGACGAGTGGCAGCAACGGCCTCAATAGCGATGACGGGGGCGGTAACGATGGGGCGGTCCCAATACCGAAGGCCCTAGCGGCCCTAACTTGTGGAGGCGGAGGGAGCAGCGCTCCTGTATCGCGATGATTACGGCAATTGGCCCAGTGATGATGGCTTCGGCCCAGGGCGGCAACGGCGGTGGCGGCCCTTATAACGAAGACGGCGGCAGCGGCCCTAATAGCGAAGGCAGCGGCAGCCGCCCTAGCTTGTGGGGACGGAGGGAGCAGCGCTCCTGGATTCCGGCGATTTATCGGAGGCGGCTGGCGGATAGTGAGGGGTTGGCCTAGGCGAGGTTGTAATGGCCCAGCTGGTGATGACTTACAGTGATAGTGGCTGCGGCCTCCAATGGCGGTGATTTGTAGCGGCCTGCAATGAGGATACTACGGAGACTGATTAGTGGGCCCTAAGCACACACCTGTGTCGCCCCTCGTAGTTGCACACTAACGATGTAGGTGCGGAACGGTTGGCGGCACGGGTGAGTGAGATCTTCCACGACGCCCTTGGGACCTGTACGAGAGGAGTACACAGTTGCAAATAGCAAGGACAACGTCTACAAAGTGTGACGATGCATCTACACTCTGTGACGACCCCTCCTACAGTCCCCTCGGCCATGTGGCGTTCTGCGTAAGCGATAGGATTGCGCTCATCTGCCAAAAGGCGACGTACGCGCTCCCTTACCTACGGAGACTGATTGCGGATGAGCACTTGTAGAGAACCTTATACTCGTCGTCGCACAAGTCGGTTGCGAAGTAAGAAAGCTGAAAAAGTTTTAAAAGTTTTTGCGCAAGTGCCCAACGAACTTCCCACGGTTGGGCGCATGCCTGCTTGTGCTTTTCTTTTGCGTATTCTATTTTTAGCGCATGCTGGTATGTGTGTGTATGTGCCAGGGATTGGCAAAGGGTTCTGTTTTTGTGACTTTAAGCCTACTCACGTTAAAAACGGAGGATGAACGAACACCACCGCAAAGCGTGCTGTCTTGCAAATACAGCCACCACAAGTGAACGATGCTTATAACAGCTCATAATTAGTCTGTTCCTTTGAACTTCGGACTAAAACCTGTGGAGCTGTCAAACTACAATTTTACGCTCTCAAATGAGAGTAAAAGGAGAACAGATGCAGAAGTGCATAGGAACGCAAAAAACACTATTTCCTGTAAAAACGTCAGACGATTTGTTTACATGTCATTGGTACTACACCGATTTGGCTGAAATATCACTAAATAATTATTAAAATTTATACATATTCAAATATTTCGTTGTTTACTTCCATTTTTTAACAAATATAAGCTTCTTTGCTTTCACTGCTTTCTGTTTTTGTTTGCACATGTAAATCAGCTGATCGTTTGACACTTTTCATGAACTTACAGGAAAAAAATCTCCGGACTAAATCCTGTAACTTCTGACTAGGAACAGTTGCTCATTTACTCTCTCAAATGTGTTCCCACTTACAGGTTTTGTGTCAATAGGAACGACTTCCTGTAAGTTCTGACTAAATCCTGTAAACCGGACTGCTATTGGAACAGACTAAATGATATTGACTTCGGCAAATCTGTACTCCGAATGATCGTGCACGAAACCAGCAACCGCCGTATTTGATCGACTGCCAAAAGCACGATACTGCTTTGGACGGTTGCCGAAAGCATGACAGCTTATGTGAAAGACTGGCGAAGGCAAGATGCCGCAGTTAGCTAACTTGATTTGTTGCAGAAGTCAAACCGCCGCCTTTGGTTTGTTGCTGAAGGCGCGTTTGACGTGTTGCCGAAGTGATGATACTGTAGTTCAAAAACATTCAAAGACACTTGCTTGTTTGAAATGAAGCATTGATATGTACATACATACATACTTACGTACGTATGCATATTCACAACTAGCCAGCAGTGAGCAATGCAATTGAATGGTAGACGCGCTATAAATACATACATACATGCATACGAGACGATAAATTACCCTTTACCACATTCGTCGTCATTTCAGCAACAAGTCAGATGATTTTCAGCAACAAGTCAGATGATTTTCAGCAACAAGTCAAATAACTTCTGCAACAAATGATGACTCTCATGTTTCCGGAGCCGTTCAACTGCCAAGTTTGCTGGTTTCGTGCACGATCATTCAGAGTACAGATTTGCCGAAGTCAATATCAGTATGAGCAGTTATAAGCATCGTTCACTTGTGGTGGCTGTATTTGCAAGACAGCACGCAATGCGCTCGTGTTCAGTCATCCTCTAATTTCGTTTAGGTATCGATACTACTAAGCCAACGCCGCTGCTCAGTCATACAAAGCAGCGGTATTGAATGAGTATGAAC